CGCTCGCGAGGCGAGACTACAGGACTCCACAATGATGTTAAATTGCTCTGCTTCTACCCCTCAGGCTTTCGACGTGCAAAAATATAAAAAGCAGCCCCACTTTTATCGGTGCAATAATAATAATACTAATCCTCGCATTTGATATAGCGCCTTATCACGTCTGTTTCATTAGTCCAGAATAGTAAAACCAGAGGACACGGGGGGGGGGGGGGTAAATTCAGAACGTATCTACGGAAACACTATGTCGGTGAGCGAATAATAAACCTGTGGAACAGGCTCCCTAGGGAGACAGATGGTTGAAGCAGGAAATGTTGATTCCTTCAAACACAGATTAGATAGTTTTCTTTTAGGAAATAACATGATGGGATACAGTACATAGGGAGATCGAGACATGTGTGCAAGTGAGCGCGAGGAACTAACATTTCTTATGTTCTTATGTCTTCGAGATGTCTCAAAGCACTTCACAGAATATACTGTAAAGTGAATCGACTGTACATTTAATGGGAGCAACACATCTGGATTTATAATTAATCAGCCGTGACCATTTCATCAGGAAAACATTTACTTCTTGCGCGGGATTTTAATAATGAGGTCACACTGAACCACGCAAGCAATTTAATGAAATATCTGTCTGCACTGATAGTCCATTTAAAGATCATCACTCCTAATTTATTACGCATTTGTGCAGCAAGTTGTCTGGTGCGAGGTGGGTATTTAAAAACGCGTGCTGAAATTTATGTGCTCGTTAGCGAAATGTAAGTATGAAGGCTTTACATGATCACATTGTGAGACGGAAACTCATTTGAAAGAAGTTTAATGTGAAATGTGATTTCCAGAGTGTTCACAAAGCAAGATGCCCAAGATTTAAAGTGGTTGCTTTGCAAAGAGGTACATTTCTCAGCCTTACTGCTAAATCCTGCAGGCTTAAGCTATAATACTGCCACAAATCGCATTCCACCATGTGTGGAGAGATGATGGAAAGGAAAGTCTTGTAATAATACTCTAAAATTCGATTGCTCTATCAAATAATGATGAAATGCTTGTGGTGTTCAGGGCAGAAAGCATCCAGATCACCAGAGGGGGTATGGATTGCAGAGATTTTTTCTACCTGTGGTTCTGAAAAATGTGATTTTAATTGAGTAATATAGGAGGAACTTATGGTATTTCCGCTTGTTTTATGCCAAATAGATTTTAGAGTCACTGCGTCCCAAAACTCTGTGACTCTCTCCCTCAATCCCTCCATCTTTCCCCCTCCATCCCTCCCCACCTTCAAGACCCACCCGGCTAAAGACCTTTTTTGATTGTGCTTAAGGTCACCTCTCTCTCCCTCTCCCCCGGCTTGTTGTCAGACTCTGCCACCGTCAAGAGAATTGGATAAGTATTTGACAAGGAAAAATGTGCAGGGCTAAGAGCAGGGGAGTGGGGCTAGTTGGGGTAAGAGCAGGGGAGTGGGGGCTAGTTGGGGTAAGAGCAGGGGAGTGGGGGCTAGTTGGGGTAAGAGCGGGGGAGTGGGGGCTAGTTGGGGTAAGAGCGGGGGAGTGGGGGCTAGTTGGGGTAAGAGCAACGGACCCTCTTTTTGGAGCAAGGATCCGCGGGACTGACTGCTGACTCCCCCACAAGACGAATTGGAGAAGACACAAAAACATCAAAATAACTTAAAAGCCACGGCAGGTGGTGCATCACTGTGTTCTGTGTTGAGTGCTAAGTCAGAAGTCATTTGCAGCATTGATAATGTCGTTTAAAATTTCAGTGCCAGCAGTAACTAAATATTCATTACTTTCCACTTTCTCCCATTAGCAAGATAAATCTTTGTACACAGTCGCGCATCCTAATAACGGGAACGACACAATCTATCAGGGAGAGAGATGAGGTGATGTTATTGAAGTGGTCACACCATTTTCCCTTCTGCTTAATGGACTTTCAGTGAGCACTGTGCTCACTTACGAAGGCAACCGATTCACACTGCAGCAAAATGGAAGCTGGTTGAAAGGTTTTCGGTGAAGGGACCCGTGTTTGGGTATGGTTTCCCACAAACATTACTCCCGCTGTGCCTTTCTGTAGCGCAGTGATCAGAGCGCTCCCTTCACAAGCGAGAGGAACTGGGTGCGATTCCCGGGCAGGGCGAAACATTGGGCAAGTTATCTTACTCCACACACACACACACACACACACACACACGTGCCTCTGTTTATCTCGCAGTAATTATGAAGTTGATTGGCGGATCGCTTTCCGGGGTTAATAATCTTTTCCAAAATATAATAATAATAATTTGGTCGCTCCCTCCACAACCGTTTGTGCGGGGACGCTGCTGTGCGCAATTGGCTGCCGCGTTTCGCCCACAAAATACAGTCACTGCACTTTACTGCGTGTCCGGTGAAGCGCTTTGAGACGTCTCCAAGACGTGATAAGACGCTGTTATCAAAGGTAAGGATTATTATTGTCGCCATTGTAGTGGAGGGGGACACAAAGATTTAAAGGGCACTCAAACCCCAGAGAGGTTACAGCCGGGCGGGTTGCGTGCTGCTTGCAATAACGAGTTTATCATCCCCGAACTGTGTGCTTATGCCTCAGATCAACTCGTGCCACTTGACAAATGTTCTGTCAACATTTCCCTTTAAAACAATTTAAACCCTTAACGCAGCGTTCACTTGATGACATACATTTGTCGTGTGAGAATGTTGCAGAATTAACAAGGCAAGATGAACAGGGAGAGATTATCGTAAGGCGGAAAACACGGCTGCCCGTGTTTTGAACATAAAATGTTCCTGGTGAATTCGTCGCAAGATAACCGCCCGCTGTTTAACGAGCTGTAAGCAGGAACCAATCTGTCACTCAATTCCGCGGCCGTGTGTGGGAACGTTGGCTGCGTGCAACTGCCTGCCACGTTTCGCCCCGCATAATGCACAGTCACTGCGCACTCTACAATATATTCGGCGAAGCGCTTTGAGACGATGTGATACGGCGCTGCATCAAATGCAAGGATTATTAATATTACTAATATTATTTTTGCTAAGAAAATCTTCACCGGCGACAGATTTAAACGCAACAGTCAGAACAGAACCCGTGCCTCTGTTTCGATATTTTAAGCAGGCGCTTAACGTTGCCCGTAACTCTCACACCTGACCGCCCACGCCAAAGTTAAGGCTCGCTTATCTTTTCACCGTGCAAATCAGAGAGATGGAGAATGAAGCTGGTGTGAGGTAAGCTTTGCTGACAGCAGCTTCACACTGACTGGAAGCTTTCAGTCGATGATCAATAACAGAGAGGTAGAATCAGACAGGCAGGTCAGCCCAGGCTTGTTCAGATCGAGCAGAACAGAAGCTGGGGCTGAGCGATGGCTGAATATCAAGCAGCCTTTGCCCCTGGCGGTTTCCCTGCGCTCCTGTTATTTTGGTAGCGGTGATTTAGCAAAGACATTCCTGAAGGCGTTACGTACAGAGTGAGGTCAACCTGGCGCTGTCGGTAACACTCTCGCCTCTGGCAGACGGCTGTAGGCTCGAGCCCCGCGATGTGACTTCGAAATCTTAGTCGTCTACCGGGGTGGTCCGAAGGGTGGCCCGCGGGTCGATTTCGTCACCCCCCTCCCCACCAGCACCCACTCCATTTCATCTGGGCCACCCACCCCCTCCTTCCATGATAATACTGCTACTAATAATAACAGCCCTTGGATTTGATAGTTACTCCTTATCGCGGCTTCCAAGACGTCTCGAAGCGCTTCATTCCGCCCGCAAAATACGCAATCGATTCACTTTACAGTATATTCCGTGATGCGCTTTGAGACGTCTCGAAGACGTGATAATTAAGGCGCTGTACCAAATGCGAGGATTATTACTATTAAACCTCTTGTTTAGGACAGGTTTTAAGATGTGTTTTATCCGTGTTTCTGTCCATCTGCTAATTGTCACTTCGTGTGAAGTGCTTTGAGACTTTGACAGCATAATAAAGGTCCTGGATCTCATGTACAAGCATTATTATTCATAAGGATTATTATTAGTTCAGCTCTGCATATTGTTGTAGCTGGAAATGTTAACAATGAGGGCGAAAGTCTGTGATATCGCTTCTTCCGTGGGGCCTGGATTAATCAGTTAGGTAGCAATCATGCTACCCTTAAGCTACTGCTTCACATAATCCTTCCTCTAAGTGTCAACCGCAGTGGAGTTAGGAGTGAAAAGCAGCCAAGTATCTGCTTTGAAAGAAAATTGTTCTGAAATGCGTTCCCAGCAAGCGACCACATTTGCTGATAAACATTTCGACGTCTTGATTTTTCTAATAAAAGAACAAGTCATGTTGACAGCTCAAGCCTAGAATTGGGGCCAGATAAAACCCTTACTCTGGATGTGTCAAGCCAGTAGCTTGTCTTTGGACGGACTGGTTCACGGTGGAGACCTCTTCTGTAATAATAATAGGAATAATAATAACCCTTGCATTTGATATAATGCTTTATCACGTCTTCGAGATGTCTCAAAGCCCTTCACCGATTGTACCGTAAAGCAAATTGACTGTATATTTTGTGAGCAAAAGGCAGCAGCCAATTGCGCACAGCAGCGACCCCACAAACAATTGTGGATTGAATAAATGACTAAATAGCTCCTTCCTACCTCTGCGATCTACTTACGCCAGATCAACCTGTTCGCTCCCTCGGCTCAGCGGGCTCCAGCCTGCTCCACATCACCCGCCCGGCCTGCTTCACCATCAACGGTCGGGCCTCCAGCTTCTCTGCCCCCACTATTCGGAAATCCATCCCACAGTCCCTTCACCTCACTCCCTCCCTTCCCTCCTTCAAGACCTATCTCAAGACCCTCCTCTTTGACTGCACCTTCGGTCACCCTCCTACCCCCACCCTCGCTGCCCTCCATCCCCCTCCGATCCCAAGCCCAAGCTCCGGTCCAAATCCCTAACTGTCCAACACCTTGGAACGTCCTCCTGGCGTGAAAGGTGCTGTGTAAAGGTCCCTTGTTGTCGTGCGGCTAATTTTCATGTTACTGTCTGTCTGCGTGTAGGGGAAAATCAGCGGCTGCTTTTAACAAGAAGACAGAGACGGGCCAGGACAGCAACATCAACAAAAGAAAGTTTCCTTTTGAAAAAGAAAGCACAGTCGTTTTACAATATCTGTCGTCTGCCGAAGAAATATTATCAGCAACTGGAGGACGGGTCTGTACCGGGAACCCGTGGGTTGCTTAAAGGTCGCTACTGGGGTTGAGTTCTTCTCAGGATCCCTGACAGCTCAGATTGGCGTGTCAACTGATTGAACAGATAAAGGTCAGCCATCTGAAGTACTGTGTGATGGACACACAACACCCACAGTCCCACCTACTTCACTCTGGAGACTGACTGAGCTCCCGAATAGCAAAACTGTATTCACAATCCTTTCCATCCTCAGTTCCCTTACTCTCTCTCTCTCTCTCTCTGTTGTCTTGTCACACGCAGAATTAGCTCAGTGGCTAGGAAGTAGCTCGCGAGAGAGAACACCGCTGGGGATAAAAAAAAAAGAACTTAAACACAGAAAAGGAAGAGAGGAAGAGAGGAAGAGGGAGACAGCTGCATTTACAAGGCATTTGACATTTTGACGTCTTTGCTTTGAAACTAACAAGGAGAGGGACGATCAGACTGAACTTTCGACACACACCGTGGGATTTGTGAGGGATTCGGCTGCATAAGTGGGAGAATGCAGCCCCGCTGATTTATGCTTGAACTGAGAGGGAAAGGAGTTCAAAGAAGTCGCTAGGTTTCAGCAGCTGAATGTCTATCAAGCGCCTTTCACTTAATCAGATGCAACAAGAGGTGAAGCTGCAACAGAGGTAAGATATTGATGTCACACTACTCTGTTAGCTTCCATTAGCGATTCACGTTTACCAGCTGAATACACTTCATGGAATAGGACGTTTCCAGTGAGTTCAGGAATGAATCTGAATTACCATTAATTGCATTGTTTAATAATAATAGTAATAATAATCCTTGCATTTGATATAGCGTCTCATCACATCTTTGAGATGGCTCAAAGCGCTTCACAGAATAGACTGTAATGTGCAGTGACTATATATTATGTGTGCGAAACACAGGGGCCAATTGCGCGCACAGCAGTGTACCACAAACAGTCGTGGATTGGGTGACCAAATGATTATTATTTTTTTGAAGGGATTATTACCCCCAGAAAAGCCATCGGACAATCGACTAACAAGTGGGTTCCTACTAACTGCCGGTAAACAGAGGCGTGTGTGTGTGTGTCTGTGGAGTGAGGAAACTTGCCTTAGGTTTCGCCCTGCCCCGCCGGGAATCAAACCCAAGCGCTCTCGCTTGTGAGGCGAGTGCTCTAACCACTAAGCTACACGACTCCAAGGAAAAGGTTGTTTCCAGCAAGCTTAGAGGTTGAGTTCAGGAATAAATCTGAACTGGCATTAAGTGCAGTGTTATTTGGAGCAAAGCAGGACAACAAACACATTTCGTAACCGAGACGTTCATCGAAATGGAAATGACAGCTTATAACTTGTACATCTTCCACCCATCACAGCAAATCCGAGAAGAAATGTATCCCTTTTTCAAGGTCATCCTCAGGAAAACAGAAAAAAAAAATTCAAAGGATCTTGAGGATCAGCTTCTAAATGAAAACATACGAGTTCAGCTTCCCTCATTCCCTCACTGATCAGCTTCAATCGTTCTTTTTCGAGGCTGCGCACGTGTGTCCAGCGATCGATAATCCTGGTCTTTTTTTAAAAAAAAAGTAATTGCTCTTTTGTCGTTTCCACGACGTACAATTTACTCCGTATAAAACTATGCTGTTACCGGATGCCGCACTTCAATTGAACGAATCCATTTAGATTCCCAACAATTTGAATTACAGCACTGGTGGGCCACTTGGCCTTTTTTGAGGTGTAGAACGTAAAATTTCCTTGGCGAAATAAGACTAATCCATCCAATTTGCCTTCCACCACCCTGGCAGTCGCTTAACCTGTCGTATCCCCAAACTACATACTGTACTATCCCCAGATATTATTTTCTAGCAGTAATCTACCTCATTTGTTCCTGAAACAAACAACACTCACTACTTCCACCGTCTGTCTTCCCGGAGAACCTGTTCTGCTCCAATAAGTTTACTACTCGCTCACTATTTTTTTAAAAAAAAGTTAAGGAATCTATTTTCTTTTTGGAACAAGAATGAAACATGTCCTGTGTAGTAATCTCTCGTCCTATTCTGCTGCTGTCACACTACGTCCTTCGGATTCCAGTCTATTTCCCAACCCTTTTCATCCCGGTCAGCCTTGCCTTCCTCGCCTCGGCCACCTGTCTCCCAAATCTCTCTACCTCATTTCCACTCTCTCTCTTCCTTTGACGCCTTCTTACAAACCCCCTTTGGAGTCCTGTAGCTTAGCGGTTAGAGCACTCGCCTCGCAAGCGAGAAGACCTGGATTTGATTCAATTTGTGCGCAATTGGCTGACTTTACAGTATATTATGTGAAGCGCTTTGAGACGTCTCAAAGACGCGATAACGCGCTATATCAAATGCAACCATTTATTACTATATTGTTATTTGTTATACTCTATGATTGTGCTTCAAGGTAGCATTCTTTTTACTGCTCAGTGCTCCACATTATATCTGTGATGCACTTTCAGAAGCTCGTCCTGGGTGATAGGCCCTAGACGTTGTCAATTAGAGTCACAATACTGGCAATCAGGAATCCTCCAGGCACAGAATTCTTTAGTTAAACCTGTTCCTCGCAGCTATTTCTGCCTCGTTTCCATAAGAAGCAGAGAAAACGCAGCATGGTAATAACACACGTATTGAAACTTCAGTCTGTCACGTTCTACTGTGGTAAGCCACAAGCTCACAGCAGTGACTCCCAATACAGGGCTCCTGATCTCAGCTTTGCAATGCTGTTGTTAGTGGATGATGAGTAGCCAGGACAGCAACGTGACTAAGGGAGGGAGTGAGTGAGTGAGTGTGTGAGTGTGTGAGAGACTGAGTGAGGGTGTGAGAGACTGAGTGAGGGTGTGAGAGAGGGAGTGATTGAGCGAGTGAGACAGAGTGAGTGTGGGGGGGGGTGGGGGGGAACGAGTGAGTGAGGGAATGAGTCCACCCGAACAGGCAGACGTGACGGACTCTGTGAAACCATCTCATTTTAAGGACGGCACCCCCGGTAATGTAGCACTTCCCGAGTATTGCATTAGAGTGTGGGCCAAAGTCCCCTCCACCAAATATCTCATGTTACCTGAATCTCTCGAATGAACGAACCACTTTGTCGACCATTCCCAGCCCCCAGACCCCACTCCGCGCCCTCCTTTATACGTCCGAACAAACAGCAACTTCTTTCAGACTTGTATTATTCGGCTTCAGACTTTCATTCCTTTCGTTTCCTCGGTGGTTAGAACGCTCGCCTGGCAAGCGAGAGGTCCTGGGTTCGATTCCCGGCTGGGCAGGGCGAAACGTTGGGCAAGTTTCCTTACTCCACTCGCACCTCCTCTGTTTACTTGGCAGTAACTAGGAACCCGGGTGTTAGTCAACTGACGGATCGCATTTCCTGGGTAATATTCCCTTCAACAAGAATAAAATAATAATCTGGTCGCTCAATCCACGACTGTTTGTGGGGACGCTGCTGTGCGCAATTGGCTGCCCACAAAACATACAGTCAATTCGCTTTACGGTGTATCCCGGTGCAGCGCTTTGAGACGTCTCGACGACATGATAAGGCGCTGTATCAAATGCAGGGATTATTATTATTATTATTAAAGGAAAGATTTGAATGGGTTCCCGTAAAAGCCGCTTGCTTTATTGGATGGAAAAGAAGCTGTGCCTCAAAGAGGTCTGAGAAACGTGACTTGTGTTTTCTCAGAATGGTGGTGGGGGGGGGTGGGGGTGGGGGGAGAGGGGCCAGGTCTCGCTTGAACCTAAACTCAGAGAGCGAGTTATTTATGGGCTAGAAAACACGCCATTAAACTAACTGTAAAACAGGCCTGGTTCACAGAGCGCCAGCAGAACTAAGTGAGAACACATGCACTTCTGTTGATTCAGTTAGCGAACAGGCAGCTTTGTGGAGCCTGCTACAAAAATCCGACACCGAGCAACAACTGTAATAACAGTTCGCGGCGAGAGGGCTCCAGGAATGGCCCGACAGACATGTGCTTCCTCAGTACTCAGCCATTCTTCAGTCAGTCTCCCCCCCACCCCCCCTCTCTCTCTCTCTCTCTCTCTCTCTCCTTCCTCCTCTCCCTCCCCCCCCCCCTCTAACCCACAACTTCTTTCACGCAGCTGCAATGAAAAATCCATGACACCAAGAATGGGTCCTCTCTCACTCCCACATTCACTTAATAACACTAATAATAATAATAATCCTTGCATTTGATACGGCGCCTGATCACGCCTTCGACGCGTCTCAAAGCGCTTCGCAGGAAATATTGTAAAGTGTAGTGACTGTGTAGTTTGTGGGCGAAACGCGGCAGCCAATTGCGCACAGCAGTGTCCCACAAACAGCCGTGGATTGAGTGACTGAACTATTATTGTTTATCTTTTGGAGGGATTATTACTCCCGGAAAGCGATCTGCCAATCGACTAATAAGCGGATTCCTACTTACCTTTAGGTAAACAGAGGCGTGTGTGCGTGTGTGTGTGTATGTGCGCGCGTGTGTGTGTGTGCGTGTGTGTGTGTGTGTGTGCGTGTGGAGTAGGGAAACTTGCCTAAGATTTCGTCTTGTTCGGGAAGCGCGAAAGGTAATCTGAGTGCGGGGCTGTGCTGATTGATATAGTGGAACAGTGGCACTTATCTGAAACACTTATCTAAAACAAATTATGCAAAACAACACCTTCAGCTTAACGTGGAATCCAACCGTACCAGAAATGAGCGACAACAGCTGGCTTCTGGATATACCATTCCACTTAGAACCGTTCTGCTTAACCCCCTACTCCACTACCCACCGCCTCCGCCCGGCTGGCTCCGGCCTCCTGTTTGTCCCTTGTCCCCTCCGCTCCACCATCGGTGGCCGTGCTTTCAGCCACTACGTCCCGAAAACCCTGTGACTCTCTCCGCCATGCCCCCTCCCTCCCAGCGTAAAGATCTTCCTTTTTGACTCGTCCCTCCCTCCCTCCCTCCCTCTCTCTCTCTCTCTCTCTCTCTCTCCCCCGGCTTGGGGTCAGACTCCGCCACAGTCAAGCACTCCAGGACGCTACCCCCTCATGAAGGACGCTATATAGATAAATGCAAGTTGTTGCTGTAAGAAGCGACAAGCTGTCTGCGGGTGAAATCTTTGCGCAAGTCCTCTCAATCGGTAGCTTAGCTTCGGCAGGGGGAAAAAAAAAAGTTTGCTTGCTTATTCCCGCTCCCTATCGAGTCCCCCAAGCTCAATTTTGTTATTAGAAGATTTTTGAAAACTTCAGCCAAGCCTATAAATGATTGGCTACCAGAAACTGAAGGTCAATCAAAGGCGCAACAGAGGAAGGCAATGAAATTCCTGGGTCTCTTGTTTCATTGAATTCGCTCTGCCTCAGGGAAGCCTCTGCAGTTCGCGCCCGTAACAGAGGAGTGTTCAATATTCCTGCATCAGAAACGTTGCTGAACCAGAGCTTGCTCGACTGCAAGCTGGAAGGAAGGAGATGGGTAATGGAACCGCGGCTCTTTTGCTTTTGCTCTAAGTGAAAAGTACACAACTATTTTTGGCTGCACTGTTTCGCTGACACTTGGCTGGATTTGTTGGCAGCAGTTTGTGTTTGTGTTGAGGCAACGCTGATATGTTTAGGTAAGAAAACGTCTTGACTTTTGAGTAAACATAGGAAACATGGCTGAACTATGATGTCTTCACACCAGTCCTAGCC